TCTCATTAATAAGAAAAATGATTTGTGCTACCACAGAGACAGGGGTCTCAAAAGTGGTTTTGGGGCAGGAAGCATTTTCATTACTGGCTTTTTGAATCTCCCTTGACCTCATGTTGGTGATGTATTCTGAAGGTGAGGAGATCTAAGAAACAGAATTTCCTTATCCTCCCTCCCTCCCTCCCTGTGTTCAGGGTGTTCAGATGTAGCCCCTGCTATTGGGTCGTGTTTGTGTGCCAGCACCATGAGGGAATTATGGACAAGGACAGGGCCGTGCCACGATCCCATGGCACAACCCATCCCCCAGGGAAACAACTAGTATGGAAAGCAGTGTTTTGGCAGGCTCACTTTCATGTGCAGTATAGCTAGGAAAGAGAAACCCTGCAAAGCCACTCAAGCTCTCTTCTCTGAAGCAGAGCTGTGGTCTGTTGTTGAAGGACATGGGTTCTGAAATGATTTGGGGGACACTAGTGATAGGCAAAATTCAAACATGTTTGGTACAGATGTTTTGAATCTGCATGTATTTAAATCGCTTCAGCATAGCCAATTAATTTACAAGCAGTTCTGTTCTCCCCTGAAGGTGAGGTTTGAAAATTGCAAACAGAAGCGATGCAGCTCCTCACACTAGCAGGATGATCAGAAAGAAAAGGAATGATTACCAAATAAAATTCCCTGCAGAGACCCGCAGCTCTGTTTGCTAAAATCATGCTTAAAAACAGCTTCAGCAAAGGACTCTTGCTCACAATCCACTTCAAATTAGGTTTTGGTCAGTAATTGTATTTCCTTCCCCAGCCATCACTCTCCTGACCATGTCTGCCCCTGCAGTGAAGATGGCAGAAGCAGTGTCCCATGAGCAGCCACATCCAGTGGCAGGGAGCCAGAGCCCTACCTCTGCACTGAGAGGCTCCCAAAATGGGAGAGTCAGCTGGGAGTCATGGGCTCAGCTGACAGGAGGCTGAACTTAGCAGTGGCCACTAACCTGCACATCCACCATGAGGTCTTGCACAAGAGAACAGGGTGATACAACTAACATTTGTCATTTGTCAGATTGTGGCAACTAAAGGACTGAGATTAAAGGACCCTATTGTTGTAAACATCCATTGCAAAAAAAAATATCCAGTCTTAATGGAAGAGACATTCAGGATGTTTTATATTCTTCCGCCATAATAAGGAAAAAGGAACAGCACAAGGTCACCAACTGTGACGAATTTAATAGCTCAGGTGCTCTGTTAGCAGGACAAGCGTTGTCAAAACCAGAAAAGAAGGTATCTGTCCGATGAGGCGTCAAGATGGAAGCTTGATTGCGTGTCAAACAGCAGTTTCTGTAGTGCAGACATGGCCTTACGTGGAATTCCATCCCTCACCTGCCTGTAGCATTTTGCAGTGACATGTGAATTTCCTTTGTCAAAAATGTTCTCATTGTTGCCTTGTCTCATTCATTAGTGCTTCACTTAGGGTGATAACACATAAATCCCATCACAAAGAACCAAGTGTGCTCTGCTCTCCACAGCTGCTGGAGGAGATGGGCTTTATCTTCCAAGCCCAGCTCACTCACCAGCAAATCCCTGGTAAGCCCTTATTACTGCCTGTCATTCACATTGCAGAAGCCAATGCCGCAGCCCCAGTGCCGAGCCTCGGCCCTCCAGCCTTCATGACTGCTTGGGCCAAAGTTACGAGCAGTGATTCTGACAAAGAAAGACAAGTCTGCATTGCTGCTGTTGCCTGGGGATGCGGCATGTTAGTACCTCACTGGCTGCAAGAACCCATCAGGAAAACAAATAAGGGCTCTGTTTATTTTCTGGGGAGACAAAGAATCTCAGGATTGGGGATGTTCAGGAGTTGCTGCAATCCTGGTACCGCGTCCATAGAGCAGGCAGTGCTGTGGCAAGAGTGGCCTCCTCCTTCCTTCCAGGCTAGGTGTCAGACTTGCACTAGCAAAAGCTGTCCAAGGGCAAACTCTGCGTCATCATCCCTTCCACCTGTGACTGTTTGGCTATGATGGCCAATACCTGTAACATTTGGAAAGATGATCTTTTGTGTTATGGCTACTAGTTCATGAGGAAAAGGCACTGAGCAGTCATGAGGTTTAACAGCAGTCAGTTTTTGTCAGTAACCCTCCTGGTGAGAAGCCAGATTAACTACAAGTGGGAACTTCCTCGGTTGGCTGAACACAAACACGTAGGATTCATATAATATTTGTAAGGATTACTCTAGGTGGTATAAAATGGCAGTTTAATGTCTGCAATGAATAGTGTGAGAGAGGCTGATAAACCTGTGCCCATAGTGCTGTACAGTGCGTCCTGCAGAAGCACAAGGGGTGAATGGCTGAGAGCCACACTATGCATCCTCTGATGTTGTGTGTGGTGGTCACTATTATCAAGGGATTTGCACTTTGCCCAGTGCAGGGACAGGACAGGAGAAGCCTTTTTTAAAAAAAAAAAAGAAATCACATGATTGTGATAAGCTTTGTTCTCTGTTACTTGTTCCATTTTGTTGTTCATTTATTATGGGGCAGAATACCCCCAGCAAGGTGGAGTGCCAATAGGTTAGGGCACTGTACAAATGTAATGGGTACAAAACATTCCTTGTACTGAAGAGCTTGTAATCAAAATAGCCAAGACAAAGCATGAAAGCACAGGGAGCACTTGAAAACTGAAGTTATTTTCTTCCCTTTTGTACTTTCCAAATGCAGTTTCAGTCTGGCCGCACAGATTTTCCCACCCACCTCTCTTAACAATCTTGTATTTCGAGAGAACTGAAATTATCATGTTCTTGCTAGAAAAGAGAGGCCTTTCATGTCATTTTCTAACTCTCTGAAACAAGCCGCAGAGCTGGGTTTTGAGCGCAGCAGCTCTGAGGGATCCTTCTTCTCCACAATGTACGAGTCATGTTGATGTGTCACACAAGGACAGCCGTGTTCTTGGCAGACAGCTTCATGTTCCAGGATAACCTAAGTGACATGCTAAAGAACAGAAGGAGTTTTACCCTGATCAAACAACATGATTTTTGAGTAAGGGATTCTGGGAAAGAGAGCCATTCCTCCTGCTCTGCTCTTTGAAGTAGTGCAGGGCATCTCTGAAAACAACAGCAGAGCTGGGGCACTTATAACACTTTTGCAAATGTTCACAGCGCTAATTGCAGACAAACTGGATGCTGGGCTGGGATAAGAAGGCAGCTTTCATAACAGCAGAGTATCCAGCACAGCAACTCTCTGGTACAGACTGGTGCCCTGTGGCATTATCATAATGCGAGAATTTATGAATGGTACTCACTGGGCCATCTGGCAGCCATATACATCATCAGGAGAGGAACCCACAGTTTCAATATTCCCTGCGCTCTACAGTGGAGGTTATCTGCAGGTGGCAAGTAGCAAACACATAGGAAGAGAAATGACCATCCAAAGAGGTGATGGAGGCAGCGGTCAGAGGGGGTGACAGAGTGACGTGACAGTGGGCTCACAGCTCATTCATGATGGAGTTTTGCATGGAGATTTTAGAGTTTTAGGATGTGCCTGCTAAATTAGAGGGACGGGCACAGTGGGGAGTCCAAACATTTTTGGTGGTATATGTGTTCCTACAAATGTCCTCAGTTCTGAGCCTAATTCCAGAGGAATTCAACACGTAATTAATCTGTGTCTTCAATGGAAATCCATTTCTTCAGTGTAACTGCAGCTAGAAAGAGCAAAGCAGCAGAGACATAAAAGGAGAGTTGCAGGACAGTGGCAGGAGCAGAGAAAGAAGGGGACAGAAGAAGGCAAAGGTACCAGAAGAAGAGAGATCGATGTTAAAACCAGGCAAGCTGTGAATGCTTTAGGGCATTTTGCTATCTTATGGACAGGAAAGTAAATCCCTCAGCAGCCCTGCTGGTGAGCAGAGATCTGACCCAGGATGTGCTTTGCAGGTAGCAAACACAGCATGCCACAGGGCTGTGTACGAGCAGCAAGCCAACCATGTGAGTAACTCTATCATGTGTACTGCATATCACCTTTTGGGTCTCTTGCTGACAATTCAGAGAGGACTGTAGAGGGAGGAATTAGAGGGGAAAAATAAACTACCAACTTTGTGTAGACAGTGGGTGTTATCTCTTGAGATGGGCGCGCAGAGACTGCAGCTATCCATTATTTGGTGTGTGGGTGGCAACGGTGACATTTCAGGAGCTCAGAGTTTAACTGTGATGAAGCTGGAGGCCAAAGATCACAGTGAGACTCATCTGGGTGGGCTAAAGTTCAGCCTCATCTGATGTGCGTGGCTTCCAGAACACTCAACACCTGACAGAGTTGTGAAGCCTGTTCCTTGCAGCGCTCTCGGGAAGAAATGAAATACTGCTAGAGAGATGGAAAACAAGAACAGGATATTCTGAATTGTTCCCTGATACTACTAGAGGGCATCTGGAATGGCACTGGAGTGCAGAGGATAGAATCCAAATTTTGTGAGGGATTTGAAGATTTTAAAAGTGGCATTTTAAAAGGGCAAGCAGAGTGGAACATTTTAGATTTTGATGTAAGAAGAATGGGAAAAAAAACTCCCCGGGGCATTTCTGATGTATGTTTCAACATAGCCAAAATGTCAAGTATTTTGTAATATTTTCTTCTATAAAATTCATAATTGAAAAACTGAATTTTAACAAAAACTCAGTCTTTTTCCTCTAAAAAGTATTGAAACGTGACTATTCTCTCCTTATTTATGTAAAGCAAAATTCCTGCAAAATCAGTGGTTTTATGGAGCATTCTGGTTCACAAGGGACACTCATAATGACAAGACTGTTCCAGCTGAAGTTTCTCCATACAACTCTATTCAGCATCAGATCAATATTCGAGGCTCTGCTGGCACTCAGTTCATTTCCCATGTCTAGACTAAGGCACTTTCTATACGAACGTCTTCCCTTATGCGTATCCTTACTGACTTCACCAGCTCTTGGCAGCTAAGAAAGCGATATATCTCTCACTCTTCTAACTTCTCTGTATTTTTTTCCTTTCTCCTTCTCCCCTTCCCGCTCTCCTCCAGGAACCTTCTGCATCATTTCACTGTGCACGTGTGTGGCTGGAATCAACTTCGAGCTCTCCCGCTACCCCCGCTACCTGTATGGACTTCCCGACGACATCAGCCATGGCTATGGCTGGTCCATGTTCTGTGCATGGGGGGGCCTGGGCCTCACTCTTATCTCTGGCTTCTTCTGCACTCTGGCCCCTTCTGTCCAACCTGTCCCCAGGACCAACTGCCCCAAATCTAGACCTGAGAATGGGACAGTGTGCTAAAAAAATAGCCAACAACAAATACACACACACACACACGTATATATATATATATATATATGTCTATGTATACCTATACATGCATATATATGTATATATAATTAAATATATATATATAATCTCAAATTAATGCCAGTGCCAAGGTAGAGCTGAGTCCAACACGGCACTCACATCTCCACTGGACTCTGTGTTGCTTCGTTCTTTCACACCAAGATGGGAAAGCTTTTCTCTCACACGGCTCTTCCATCCGACTCTTAACTTCAGCATCATACCTTAGAGGTTGAATGAACATGCTGTTGCACCTACCAGCTGCCACCTGGCAAGGGAGAGAGGGGTCCGGGTGGGGGACCCGCAATCTGTCTGTGCAGGACATGGAGGGCTGGGGAGCAGGGGCAAAAAGCCTGTCCCTTGCAGTTAGAAAGGAAAATGCAAACAGCAAGCAAATAAACAAATCAAGTAATTGAGTCACCTCTACAGTGTACCTCCTCGAGGCCATTATCAGAAACCCATGCACTTTCTTTTCTTTCTGGAAACAAAATGAAAAAAGCCTACCCTGCTGTTGTTTATCTCTTAGTATTATCTTTTAAATATATATATATATTGTTTGAACTCTTTTCTTTTCTTTTCTTTTCTTTTCTTTTCTTTTCTTTTCTTTTCTTTCTCTTTCTCTTTCTCTTTCTCTTTCTCCTTTCTTCTTAAAATGCAGAAAACAAAAAGGACAGAAGACGTGGGGAAAAGCAAAAAAGCATTTTTTCTTTCCTGCCAAACTTTAGAAGGAAGCAAACAGACAAAACCAATTTAAAATAAGGATCTTATGAAGTAAAACCAGAAAACAAATAACAACAGCAACAACAAAAAACAACATGAGGATATCTCAGCAGACTCTCCAACAGTACGGTTTTAATCTTCCAGCTGCCTTACATCCAGGCTTACAACTGAGGCTGAACTGCTAATGCAATTGCAGTAGAAGGCCTTCTGAAAATGCTGTGATACTTGTGTGTATAACATTTTCTTCCCTCTTCTTTTTTTTTTTTTTTTTTAAGAAAGAGAAAAATGTAAAACATTGCAATGTGATTGTCCACTACACCATCCATGCTGTGTTTGTGGCCCAAGACTGAGGCAACTGCAGATGCGTGAAGAAAGCCGTCAGGTCTGAGACAGTGCGTCTCCTCTGGTGGATTTCTGGATGGTTTTGGTTTTCATGGAGCATCCGAGAGCTCAGAATGGTGGATCCAAGGGAAGACTGACCAGGGAGAAGGGAGGTGGGGGGAGTCCTGGCAGTTGTTCCTCCTGAGTATTTACTGGATTGGGATTACACTGAGTTTTTGGATGTTTGAGAAAACTGGGCAAAAGCCATTACTGAAGAGAAAAAGGGAGAAAATTTTTGTAAGAGAGAAGTAAGAGAAGCCTCTTGTTGTGTTCATGTATGCCAAATAAGAACTTCACACATCTTGTCTTTGGAACCTGCCCCAGGTCACTGGACATCTCCACTCTCCATCTGAGAGAACTGTGGAAAAGAAAGGGTCAGATGCAGAGAATGGAGATCCATTTCCCATGAGCTCAAGCGTTGTATGATATAATTGTGAATCTTCAAGTGGGATTCTCTCTCTCTTTTGGTCTTTCTCTTTTTCCTGCTACTCCTCTTCCCGTTACCCCCTTCTCCCTTCACTCCTCTCTCCCCATCGTTCAGGTCACAGATCCCAGAAGAGCTAACAGAACAGATGGGGATGTATACCTTTGAAGGAAGCAGAGCATTTTGGCTGTGAAGACAGCAGCTGCTTGCAGGGGAACAGTGGCTGAGGGGAAGGTGAGGTGAAAGGCCAAGGCTGTAACTAAAGGGAGCTGGAAGAGGCAACTGCCAAATGGCCCTGTTCAGGAAGTGATGGCACCACCGATAAATGAGCAGGCAGAGGAAACAGGGCAGGGAAAAAAAGTCCCCCACAAAACAAGCCAATCCAACATGCTCTTAATTCAGGGGTAATTACATCAGTCTTTTATTACACCCGATATCTGCATGTCATCAGCTCCCATTTGACGATAAAAATCATCTAGCTGCGCCTGACCTGGGGCTCACAGCTCAAGAAAATTTGGAGCTGTTGGAGCAAGTCCAGAGGAGGGCCACAGAGATGATCAGTGGGATGGAGCACTTCTCCTGTGAAGACAGACTGAGGGTGTTGGACTTGTTTCACTTGGAGAAGAGAAGGCTCTGGAAAGGCCTCATTGTGGCCTTCCGATACTTGAAGGGAGCTTTTAAATAGGAGGAGAACTGACTTTTTACACAGTCTGATAGTGATAGGACAGGGGGGAATGGCTTTATACCAAAAGAGGGGAGGTTTAGGGAAAAGTTATTTACTCAGAGGGTGGTGAGGTGCTGGAACAGGCTGCCCAGAGAGGTTGTGGATGAAGCATTCAAGGCCAGTTTGGATGGAGGCTCTGGGTGACAACCCTACCCACGGCAGAGGATTGGAACTGGATGGGATTTAAGATCCTTACCAACGTAAGCTGGTCTGTGATTCTGTGATCTCCTGAATCTATGAAATCTCAAAAGGATAAGGAAGCAATCTGCTGAAATGATGCCTGCACAGAAATAAAGGCATTAACTCCAGATTATGCTATTTACGCGGCTGTCAGGAAGCAGCATTTTGACTTGTTAAAAAAAAAGAATCCAACCAAGAAATAATTTTTATGCAATGCAATTGCATAGCCAGCCATTCCCCTTCCAGATCTGCTTTCCCTCCCTGTTACACCTTGTGTGATGATGTTCCTTTTTGTTAACAGTGTCCAAAGAAATAAAGTTTCTGAAGGCTATTTTGGAGTAGGGTAGATTTGGTTTTCTTTCACTCTTGCTCAGCTACTTAGCATTTATGTTCTTTGGTTTACAAACTCCCGAAACATGCCAATGTCAGCTGCCAAGTCAATGTGTTGCCACTGAAATGCCATCCCTGGCAAGTGAAGTTTTGTCATTTCATTCTCCATTAGATCTGACTGGAGAAAGTAAGTATTTATTGATTCATGTTGAAAATGGAAACCTTTTGAAGAAACTTGCTTTTTAAGTAGATTGGATTTTTTTTTCCTCTGGCAATGTTTTCAAGCAGAGTCTTCTGAAAAGCTTTGAAACTGTTTAAACTTGCAGATGCTTACTAGATGAGGAGGCTGATGAGTTACCACTGGACAGAAGGAAATTAAAAATAAAAACAATTCTTGGAAAGCTAAATTGAAACCGAAAGCATAAAACCAATAACTGAAAACTAAAAGAGACCTTTAAAAATGTGAAAAATTTCATGCTATGAAAGATTTTGAGAAAAAGCAACTTCTCATAAAGGTGTTAATGCTTTACGAAACTGGTACTTGTATCATTAAAACATCTTTGAACACAAACTTTCTTCTTCCTCTGCAGTTCTGAGTGTGATAGGGAAACTCTTTCATGTGAATAGAGGTATCTGCAGTGACCTCACTAGACCGAAAGTCAGAGGGGTTTCTAGCTGGCATCTGCCATTGGGTCCTGTGACGTGGAAAGCAGTATGACAGCTCCTGTGGTGGTGTATGCCTTGTGTGAGCCGTGACAGTTCACGAAGTGTATGCTTTTCAGGTGGAGTTTTGAAGGAGCTATAGCAGTAAGATTGAAAGAAATTGAAGTCATTTTGCTATTTCATGGACTCTCAACTCTTCTCTCTGCAGCTGGCATGAAAATAGATCTGCCCTGATGAAGTACTCTCTGAAGGTGTTGGTTGGTTTACAAGCTGTATATGAGCTGAGTGCTGGCCTGTGTTTGGTGATTGTGGGAGAGGGTTACACTCATTTTGCTTTATAGCAGAGAAGTGTTAACCCTGGATCTTATCTTTAGGCCCGATTTGTGATTTTCCACTCATTATAGCACAGCCTCTCAGGCCTGTATGAGCATGTGTGTTAAAAGTGTGGGTGTAAGTGCTTGAAGCAGCAGGTGAATACAGAACTTTAATGTCAGACTGGATCCTAAAGGACCACCTGTCCAGGCAAAAATTTTGGTGCACGTCTTTGACTGAAACAGGGGCAAAAGCCCTTAGGATTTTTTGAATTTCTCTCTGTGCTGCTCACAGCCTCAGGAGGAGCCCCAAAGGGCCGTGAGCAGTGTGAGGTGGGCGAGAGCCTTAGCTTAGTCCTGCGCTCATCTCCAGAGCAGGGCTGACCCAAGATACATCTGGAGACAGATCTGTGATGGTTAGTGACTATGTACATCCAGAGCCAAAGCGCATTCCCACCTACTCCAACTTTCTGCATTTTTGGGAGGCTTTGAAATTTCTTTCTGACCTGAGATTCAAACTTTCCAACCAGTGTCTGGTTTACTAGTCTGAGCAGTAGTCAAAAATCTGTCAGATGTGCTCCCCACGTTAAGGGTCTTGGCTCTGTCTCTTGGTCTGCTCCAGGGAAATGTTCAAGCACATACTTTACTTCTGACATGTGACTGATTCCATTGCCTTTGGTAGACTATTCACATGCTTAAAGTTAAGAATGTGCTTTTCTGGGTGATGTTCAGCTTCCTTCTGAGTCCAGCCCGTGTTCTTTTGCTATCCTGTCCTTGTAGATAATGTGACACCCTTGTCCTAGCCTGATGCAGGTGCTTGTGCTCCCTCTCTTTTACAGGAGGCCATTCCCAGGGAAGTGGGGTGAGTTGCCCCAGCGCAAGTGGTGTGTAGGCTGAGGCTTTTTTTTACAGTGAGCCTCCAGTTCTTGTACAGTAAGGTTCTGTGATGGCAGTTAGTTGCAATGGCTTCTACTTCTATCCCTGCCAGGGCACTGTGTGGGAGCCCTGCAAGGGAATATATTGTGGGAATCTATGTGCTATGTATCTTATGGACTCTTAGGACACCGTCTTCAAGCTAAAGCTGTTCGCATGTTAAAACTCCTGACTCATAGTGGCCACCTGTATATATCATCTCTCCTTTCTCCCTTTCTGCGAGCACAGATCTTCCCTGATCTGAATAGTACGGTCCCTCAAGTCATATTTCTAGTTGGGCTTTTATCTC